TCAGAATTCAAATATAGCCAAATTAGATATTACCCTTAATGAGTATTACTGATTCTATATTACATTCTACCAAATACACAAACATAAACTATTCCTCTTTGAAAAATCAATTTTCTAATGATAGTATGAGTATTACATTTGAAGAGAACAGACTTATTAAACTGATAACAACAGTATTTGATATGGTTAATATTTCCTAATATTTTTGAAACTTTAATACTTAATTTCTATAATTGGAAAGAATAAGATATAACAACCACTATTTATTTAAAGATCCTTTTGTCAGCAATCTATTTTTAGCCTTTGTAATCACTACCACCACCACATTAGTGAAAACACTCTAATATGCGAAATATATTAATTCATTTCCTGTTTTCAGGCATTGTAGTAGGGCCTTACCATACATCAAACCTAATCTTCACGAAGATTATTTCTCCATTTCCCCACAAGAAAACTCAGGCTTGCAAGTAGTTATGAACTTGTATACAAGTCGAGGTGATTAGTAAGTGAAAAATTAAAAGATCTATCTAGCTCCAAAACTTGTGTTGTTTCTATCATAATACTTTATTGAAATTATTAAATGGATTGATTTTCCAGTACAGTTCACCTCTACTTTCCAATATAGGAAATAAGCTTAAAATTAGTAATTACTAATTAAATTACTATTTAGAGAATATATGCCATTACTTACATTTATTAAATATTATTTACTACTGATTAATCATCTAGATCTGTTGAAAACCTTAGTTTCAATAAGTTCTTAATCATAATTCCTACAGATTATTTTTTTTCTACCAGCTATCTTTTTGGTAGAAATGAATGTTCATTCTAATCTGTTTTGTTCCTTTCTGCCTGAAACAAGTTTATGAAAAACAATTGAGATTCTACAATCATATTTTCATCATAATAATCAGTGACATTTAAAAGCATCATAGATGTCTTTCTAGAGAATTTCTTTAGTTGTTTAATCTTAAAAAAGTTTGCAAATCATGCAAGTTTCAGTTATAATTTCATTGCAGAATAACAGATGAACAAAAGGTAAAATACTAAATACCTTGCAAAAAGAAAGGTGAATGAATAAAAGAAGTAGATGGTGGTACATATTTAAAATGCTAAGTATGAGGGGCTGGGGGTATAGCTCAGCTGGTAGAGTGCTTGCATGCACAAGGCCCTGGGTTCAACCTCCAGAACCACCAAGTAAATAAATAAACAAATAAATAAAATGCTAAGCACGAATAAACAGTATTCCAATTTAATAAGACACTAAAAAAACACAAGTTACCTTTTGTTAAATTTTATTTATTAAGAAAAATTCTTTTGATTATTTATTTCGCAGTAAAACCATAAGAATCATGACTATAAAAGATAATTGCTAGTCCAATTCTAGAATAAAGAGGATGAGAGTTGTTTTTTATTTAAATTTGGTAAGATAAGATTTTTCAAAATATTTACTAAACTTCAATAAATTGCAACATATAAGGATTCTACTAACACAGGTAGTTTTAGAAGAGGTTTCACACCTTGTTTCAAATGAGTACAAAGAATCCTGATTTAGAATAATGCTCACTTTAACCATAAAGGCCAATTAGTTTAAAAACATGCAATTCATATCTAAATTAAGATAATACATAAAAGTAACTATTGTGTTTTAAAAGCATAGTAAATGATTCTTAAATAATAAACTTTAAGGTTTTTGTCTAAGGCTTCTTCAAGCTGTGGAATTCTCACCATTTCTTATTTTTACTTTGTAAAAAATATTTAAAAGATAGCAGATTTAATATTTAATTTTGGTATGCATAGTAACCTTTTTTAACCTTTCTTAGGGAACACTGACCCCTAAAGGTTCTAAATTTAAATAAGTTTCTCACAATTTTCTAAATTTAACTGGTATCTAGCCCTCATTTTAACCTACATTATTAGAATTATATATACTTATGGCAGAAGCATTTATCAATAAATAATACATAAACTATCTCCTAAGGATCACAGAATGCCATAAAACCATTAGACCATGTTTCTGCTAATAAAAACTACCTAAATTAATGTAAAAAATATTCAGGAAACTACAACATTATTCCAAATAATTATTCATACAAGCTTTCTGATCTCCATGCCTTTTTTTCTTACAAAGTAAATGAGTACAGTTGTCTTTGGTATCCATGGGGAACTGGTACAGGAACCCCCATAGATATCAAAATCTTTAGATGCTTAAATCCCTTATAAAAAATGTCATAGAATTTGCATATAACCTATTTACAATCCTTCCATATACTTTAAAATCATTTCTAGATGAATTTTAATACCTAATACTATGTAAATAGTTGATACATTGTATTGTTTCAGGAATAATGACAAAAGGAAATGTCTGTCCATGTTCAGTACAGAAGCAATTTTTATTTCCACATATTTTCCATCCACAATTGGCGGAATTCTAGGATACAGAATATACACATACAAAAGGGCTAAGTGTAAGTGCTAAAGAGGACTAAGCAATCAATCATAGGTCAAGTTGTTTTTTCTAAGGGTTGATTTTACATAAGCATAAACTCCTTTGATTATGACATTTCATTTCTTAAAAGCAGACAAAAGAAAATGCTGAAAAAATAGAAAGTTTTCACAAAAGGCAAAACATTATTGGTACCAATCCCCATATGGCAACACATATGTATTCACACTTATATACTTCTATCGACTTAAACAATACAGTCAGTGTTGTTTTTAAGTTCTTTAAAGAAAGTTGAACACATTTTGTAGATATCTTCACTACTCCCTTCTACCAACCTTGGCTTTACATTTTCCAAGATGTCTATAATGATAAAAACAAATAAAATCGTAAATGGTTATATCTGTTACATTATCTACCTTATCAACTCTTTGGACTTAAAATATTTCAGCAGTGCTTCTATAACAAGGCCAGGAAAAGAATGGTCACTTTTACAATTATAAGAAGTAATTCCTTTTTGTCTTCCCACTTTTTAGATACATTAAACATTAATTCCTTTGGTTCCTTAAAGGCCCTATGGCCTCTGATTTGAACAATATGATTTTCACAGCAATGTGACCTGTGAATAGGGAATATAAACAATAGGTATGTCGCAATTTGCTTACTTTTTCTTATTTTGTAAGTAAATTGAGGAGAATGCTTTCTGAACTCCTGAAACGAAGAATGTTGCTTGCTTACTTGAATAAAATAATAAAAATATTGGGTTGGAATGTTGCTCAATGGTAGGGTGCTTGCCTAGCATGCATGAGGTCCTGGGTTTGATACCCAGTACTAGCAAAATAAATAAATAAATAAAAATATCTACAACAAAAATTAGTTAATCACACACCAATATATTCTTATCATAAACCTGAATATAAAGAGAGTAGGTCAAAATTAAATGTCACATAGTCCATACATTAAAACAATTAACATTAAGAACCTTTAATCACATTACTCAGATACTATGTATTACTACATTACACACAATTCAATAAGTCATCTGGATGCTAAATTTGTAACAAGCAGCCCAGAGTCCCAAGTTAGAAAGGAAATTACTAACGATAGCATTAACAGCAAGAGGGTTCATATAGGTTATATATGCTTTTATATAAGTTTTTATATGGAAGTCAAAAACAATGCAGAATTCAGAAAAAGGTACTCAGAAAGCATAATATCTTTTAATACTTCAGGAAAAAATATGTAATCAACTGATTTAACATAATGACTATGAAACAGCCCCCACCCCAAAAAGCCTTTAACTTTCTAAAACAAGGAATAATGTGCCTGAATATTCGTGAATTTGAAAAGAGCATTATTGTGGGTAAAAGGAAACACAAAAGGGAAAGATTATATAGTACTTTAGTAAGAATTCTATATTTTAAATTATAAAATTGAGAAGAAATGAAAAAGATGTATATAAAGGTTTAAGTTTTCAACTGTATTATATTCAAATGATTCATTTTTCTAAGGATTCCATATCTTCAACATTTTACCATAATAGACTTTAAATCCTCTTTTTCCCTGTTCCATGTAGATGTTGCTTACATGTACTACCACTCATTTATCTGTCTGTCTATCTATTTCAGGCTCTCGGTCTATGAGTTTGAAATGACTTTCAAACTGTTTCTGTGCACAACTGTTCTGTCTCTTAGGCTGTGTTCTAGGCCTGTGTGTAACTGTATTTGCTTCTCTCTGTCTCTTCCTGTGCCTCTCTCTCTCTTTCTCAAAGAATCTTTGTTTCCATCCCCACATCTCTACATCTTATATCTCTGCAGATCTCTCTTGCTCCTTCTGATTCTTTCCCTCGTGAAGTGCCTCTGGGTGTGTCTCAAGATGTGAATGTCTATATCTATGTGTCTCAGTCTATTTCTATGTGTAGTGTATGTGTGTTTTCTGTCTCTTCTACTATGCATGGCTTTTGCCTCTGAGAGTCTTTTTTTGTGTGTTTATCTGTGTGTATGCCTGTGCTTCTAGTTTTGTGAGTCTTTCTTTCCTGTCTCTCCCTCACTGTACATCGTCTTCTCACTGTATCTCTTACTCTGAGTCTCTGTTTGTGTTTCTTTCTGTGTGCTTCTGTATATATGTCTGTTTGTCTGTGTCTTCCTCTCTAATTACATCCCTTTCTATGTCTTTTTCTCTGTGAGTGTGCCTCTGTATCTCTCTTTCTCTGTGTCACCATCTTCTCTTTTTGTATGTTTGTTTTTATTTCTCTGTGCATCTTTTTCCTCTTACTCTCAGTGTCTTTTTTATGTTTATCTCTTTATTTACGTGCACATGTATGTCTCTTTTTCTGGGTCTTTGTGTCTCTTTTGTAATACATGGATCTCTTTGTGTGGGTATCCTTTGTGTGTGTGTGTGAGTGTGTGTGTGTGCGTGCACGCACACGCCCAAGTGCACATATGTTTGCATGTGTGCATGTCTGCCTCACATATTGGTTAGAACAAACACATTTCATTCAGTGCCTTGAACTGCCACAACACCTGGGGCTTCATATTAATACCTTAAAAGTCCTTACCTTTTGACCAGTCCTCCATTTGTACTTTTGTTCTTATTTGCTCTGGCAATGTCCCTGGTTTTTACTTCAAGATTGAAGCTAAAATAAAGCCAACTCTAGATAAATAAACTTAAAACAATATATCAGAACACACCTAAACCTTACCTTTGTTTAACAGAGAATTAAAAGGATAAATGGTTTTTGAAAACATTTACAATAGGACAATTAAGTCTATTTCAACAGGTGAAATAAAATCTTTTTCTCAAAAAAAGGTTCTTTTCCTCACAGTTATATTTTCATAAATATAGTTCAAGTTAAGTTTTTTAGACATTTTTGCTGCTTTGGTTATAGAACATTTAATTTATTTAACGTTTCTCCAACTATAATTTCTTGCATCTAAAAAATTTTACTGTTTATGCTATAATTTGTGCACCAAAAATTTCAAATTTATTAATCTGAGTTTGCTATGCATATATTCATATAAAACATTTAAACTTGTAAAAGCAATTTAAACTTGTTATTGTAATTTTTAAATCAAAGAAGTCAAATCATTAAATTGTGAAATTATTGGTATTTCTCTGTTGTACTTGTTTTCATAGTAAACATGGTAAAAGCTATGTAAGTTTCTTGTTTTGTTTTTGTCTTGCTTTAAAAGGGAATAAAATTAGATTTACCTCACAGCTAGAACCCTGCGTTCTTTAAAAAGTCCTCAAATAAAGCTGTAGTAAGCTTCTCCTTTTCCAATTTTCTCTAAATATGTTGATGTGGAGTTGGCAATCTTTTTCTAAGTTCCTCATTTACTTTTGGATTAGTTGAAAATATAGGAAGTTATTAATATCAAAGAAATATGTTCCAGTCAATGAAGCCATTTCCCTACATATTGCCCAAAAAGGTTAATAATAATTGAAGTATTTTAATAAGAGATTCATATAGCAAGACATGTAGAAAATACAGTCTTTAATAACCTCTGGAGTATTTTAAAACATGTCTTACAGGCTTTAATGTGCTTAGTAATATACTATTTAAAACCATAATTTTATCCCTCTGCAATATACAGTCACTCTTCCTCATCATTTACCCAGCTAATGAATGCCAGCAATTAGTAAAATGTAATCCCATTGCACAATCATTTTAATGCTTTTAGCACTCAGAAAAGTAAACACCAAATTAATACTGCTCAAGCCATATCAGATCCTAGTTGGAAGCAAGCAATTATAGTTCAGCTCCTCAGGTGTAATTAAATGATTGGAATGATTTAGTTCCATAAATGCAAGTTAATTCATAAGCAAGCAACAAATATACTGGGAGTAATTACAAGAAACATTGACAGTCTAAGCAGGGCAAATTCTTTTATGAGCCTGACATAGTAAAATGCTGCCCTCTCCTGGGCACATAAGTGAATACATCGGGGCCCAAAACAAAAAATCCAATGACACCTTCTTTAAAAGCCGCTAGACAAATAATATTAACTAGTATACCCATTTGATTTCATTCCATGCAGTATAAAACTATGGTAATTTGTAAATACTCCCATTAAGTTAATGCTTTTTCCAATAAAGCTCTGAGTTTCAAAACGTACTGGACAATTCCTAAACACAGACTGGAAGTGAACCTTCTAGTACCCATCTGAACTACCATTATGAATACCTATGATCTCTCAATGGCAAGGCTCAAGCCCTAATTAGACTGATATTCAATAATAACTAGCTATGTTTTCACAAGTACTAAAATTTTTATAAAAGTTTGTAAAACGAATAATTTTACTGATTTCACAGAATACTCTAAAATTAATTATTTTTAATGAACACCAATAATAAAAACAAAAACTTAAATACTGGTATAACTTCCATAATAAGCATATTTTAAAATGTAAAAAGTAATAAGCCTTGTGCAACATAAAGTGCCTGCTGGTCTCACAGCATTCTTAAGTTTTTACTTTCCTAGCCTAAAATTCAGGATGAATTTACTATTCTACTAGTCAGATGGTCCTTAACTTTTCACACAGAACTTTCAGAAGCTTATTATACTTTTAAGTAATGCTATAATCAAAAGTGTTTGTTAAAACATGTATTTCTGCCACTAAACCTAATTGGTATCATCCCTTTGCCTTTCTAAAGCATTGAACATGTTCTCTAATAAAATACTGCAATTAGCACAACAAATGTTTACTTCTTCAATAAATGCAAATGACTTGGAGAAGATAATGCTTAACACAATACCAATATCATATGAGAGGAAGAGAGCATTAAATCAATGCCCTTCTAATTTGCTTTCAAATGCATTAATATAACCATATTCTAAGTCATATCCTCTGCAAACTATAAAAATAAAATAAATCAAAATATTAAAAAATCCTGTTACTAAGTTTAAAATGTACAGCACATTTGCTTTGCCCTTGATGTCAGAGTCTTATTTTTCAATTCATATCTTGTACACTGTAAGTTAATTGCTTTTGGAAAGTACTTATTATTCATGTAAAAATTAATGTGCCAATGTGTTTAAATCCTCTTAAATGACCATTCATGCATCTTTCTTCTTTAAGTACCAATGAAATCTGTCAAAAGACATCAATGCAAAATGATCTTAAAGAAAGTTCTAATAGAGATTTTTTTCTGCTAACATAAGATTTTCATATTCACCAACTTTACTTAAATTCCATTAATTTTTTAAGCTACTTTTAATAAATTCACCAAGTAAAATTTTTAGGCCCCATAGTCTGTCATTTGTGTTCCAGCTGACATTATGAATATTAATAACAGTGTTATCCTGATTAAATAGGCTTCATATGAAATCCCTGTGAATCCTATAGCTCAGACATCTCATTTTTCCAACTCTTTATGAATTTGGATTCAGACATTAAACTGGAAAAATCTTTAAAAACAGATTTAATGGCACATTTGCATATTCTTAGGCAAAAATTAGATGTTTTAATGATTCAAACAATTAAAATACATATCCACATATTATAATAGGAATGGATTTCTGTAAACATGCAACATATTTTACATTTCTATCCTTTTAAGGACAATGGATTAAGGCTAATAAAATACTAATTCCAGTCCTTATCATAAAGATTTGATATCAAGAACTTAATTTTCAGTAAAAAAGTATATATTCACATTAAAACTAGTTAGATGACTTTGTAGCAGACAATGAGAAAAACTGGGTTGCTTAATCATTACAGATCAAATGTAAATTAATTGATTTATTATTAGTAATCTATACCAGATTCAAAAAGCAAAGTAAAATCAATTTCCAACTAAAATTTGTTTATAAGTTGTACTGGAGAAGCTTACTTAGTTTAAAAAAAAATCTATAATCAACATTACATATCACAGTAGCATCTGTTAAATCAAAATATTTTCTCTCCATCACAGATTCCTAACATCATTCTTCTAAGTTATTTTTAATTCTCAAAGGAAGTAAAATTTATTTTTCTTTCAAAAAAAAAAAAAAAGAAAAAGAAATTAAGCATATTGCATATCTCCTTCTCTCTCTAGGCACATAAGAAGCGTGATATATCTGACAAAGTTTCCTATATTCCCCCATCAAAAAAATATAGATTGAAAAAATTCAAACAAACATCTCTATGCTCTAAAGTATGACTTGACACTCCTTATTTACCTGGTAATTAAAACACTTCATGAAACAAAATTTGTTCTTGGCCAATCTAAAATTTCTAATTTGTGTAAAAAATCATAAGTGATACTGTTTAAAAGTAAATAATGCCTTTTCATAAAGAAGCATTTAAAAATTGTATTTATTTGCCAAAGTAGCAGTATCAAGGATTTCTAAAACTATTTTAAAAGCCATACTTCACAAAAGCCACATTCTAGCAAAGGCTTTGGCTGGTGGCAATTTTTCTTTAAATTCCCTTAACTTAATCACAAGTCTGTGTGAGTTGCATCCAAGTATCAAACTAGAAATCACTTATAATACTGTACTGTATCCAAATGTAACTAGAAAAACTTGGAATTTATTATTTCTTAGATTGAGAAATGTTAATTATTTCTGAATTTAAACAGTCTTATTAAATGGTCAAAGGAGAGCACTGTCTTTCAGACAGCCAAATATTACTTAACACAACATATACTATATAAACTTATATCCTACTGTTGGATTGTCTTCCAAATATATAAAAGTCTCTCAAACATTCACAGCTCTTGGCACATTCTTTCCCAAAAGGAATTCCTTTCACATAAATGTCCAACCCTGCCAGGCTCCAGAAACTGAATTTCCTTAGAGCTAAGAAAGAAAGAGAAGGTTGATGGAGAAAGAACAAGGGATAAAAGAAGTTCTGCACCATAGATAGCAAAATTGAAAATGCATATACTATTGGACTACACAGTTCCAAAACTAAAAATATTTACAAAAATATTTTTTAAAATATTTTTATATACAAAGATTCATTGAAGCAGTATTATTCATAAGAGCAAATACTCACTGATGCTATGTTGTCCTGGACTTTTTTCTGTTCTTCGAACACACCAAGCTTATTCTTGCCTAAGGTTTTGCACTTGTGAGTCTCTTTGCTTAGAACTGTCCCTAGATATCTAAAATATTTTTTCTCATCAATCAGGCCTTGTCCAGAAGTCCTCCTCAAAAAAGGCTTTGCACGGGGTTGTGGCTCAGTGGAAAAGTGCTTGCCTAGCATGTGTGAAGAACTGGGTTGGATCCCCAGCACTACATAGAAATAAAATAAAGGTACTGCGTCAACCTACAACTAAAATAAATAAATAAATAAATAAGTGTGTGTGTGTGTGTGTACATATATGTATGTGTGTGTGTGTGTATATGTGTGTATTTTAAAGACTTTGCATGGTCATCCTATCTAAAATCTCATTGCATTACATATACTACCGTCTTCATGAAATTGATTTGCTTAGGTTTTATTTCTTTGTTTTCAAGATATCTCAGGCAATTTTGTACATGAAAGTCACATGTAAACAAGACCCTTGATTTTCTTCTCTTTGTATCCCCAGAAAAATGTGTGGCACAAAGCAAGTACTCAGCATAAACTTGTCAAATGTATGGATGAACAGGTAAGGAAGAGATGGTAGATGGAAACCAGCACTAACATAAATATCCAATAGAAAACTCAACAAATAAAAAGTGGTTCAACCACATAGTAAACCTATATGGCTTATACCATAAATGCAAGAGATACATGTGCTATATATGAAAGATTCATTCAACAAATACTTTTTAAACAGCTATATTGTATGAACGAGAAAAAGATGAGTAAGATGGAAAATATGAATAAAATTCTTATACAAAATATTCTTAGTCAAAACAATATAGGCACAAAACATGGAAAAATAAACAGAAAAAATGTTATATTTGATATACATGATTGAGCAGGCCTATTCCCCCCATACCCTAGGTTGATAAATAGGAAACTATTCCCAGTGAAGAAAGGGTTTTAAGAGTTGGGGGTAGACAGGCTGAGAAAATGAGGAAAAGAAGCATTTACCTTCATTTTGAATCTATATGTATAACTTTATTTTTTACCATGTGCCTGCATGTACTACTTTTCTTTTAATAATTAAACGTTGATAAGTTACCTAGGAGTTTAGTAGGAAAACTTGAGGATGTCATATAATGACAGAAAGCCCAAATGAATAGAAAGGAAGTGATCTTTATGACTCTCTTGAAATTGGAAAATGTATTATTTCTTCATTACCTTTTATAATTATACTTTGTTATGGTTTTTTACTTATTTGTTTAAATAGAGTGAAAAGCTCTAAATAAACTAATACACATAGCAAGAATTTTTTAGAATAGAAAAATTAAAAACGTATGAAAGGGTTTC